GAGTGAATCTAGTGGTTCCAATTCAAATAAGCTAGAACTACCAGATTTCTTCTGGACTGGTTTCCCTTGCTGACATGGATCAATGACACAATCCATTGTGACACTGAAGGCTTCCCACCCAATAAAAAACAATATCCTCTTCAGAGGCCTGATTTGTGCCAGGACCATAACAAGGGAAAAGGTTTAAACTTTCCTTTCCCATCCCCTGTGATCCAATATTGGTCAACAACACACACAGCAGTTGATATAGATAGAGGGGACATACACACACAAGAGAGAGAGAGTCAAAGTTTCCCCCTACTATCCAGTTGTCTCCTTACTGTCTCCCACACTGTCAAATTGCATTATTACCTATGATGCTGAAGCAAAGGACAATATGAAGCCTTTAACCAGAACAAATGCTGCTGCCACTTATGTCCTCCCAGCCTATTGGCGTCATTATATGCTGGTTGAAGAAGCATAGGCACCACTGGTCCCACCCATCATCACCCAACTCCACCTCTGATCCAGGTGTATTTACTTCCAACTGGAGAAGGGGTGTAGCAGCACAACAAGTCCACTTGTTACTAGTCCTTGACACATGGTACTACCAGTCATAAAGAACCTTTGATAAGATCATGTATATGTGATGCATAATGACCATGAAGTCAATACAAGCTTAGGGAAGAAGAACAATAATACTGAAGAATAGTTGCCAATGTCCCTTGCTCATTTTGAAAAAGCCACTATAGCTTACTGCCCTCTCTTAAAAGCAGAATAACAAGTGAAAAGGCACACTACATTGAGTGTGATGGACTCCCAACTGTTCAGGTATAGGGGTGGATGGGTGTTTTAATGGTTCTTTTCCCATTACTCACTGACAAGGACACCATGCCATGTGAGCAAGGGCTGAGGAGAAGACGTGCTTTATACTTGAACTGAAGAGAGGCTTCCATTAGAATGCTGTTAACATGCAGGCCCTGTCCTGTTTTGACTGATAGCTCCACATAAGAGCAGCTGCTTTTGACTTTATGTACAGTAGACAATGGATGAAATGCCGCCTGCAGTGTTCAGCTGCTACACTTGAACAAAGAATAAGCCATAGTTGCCCCTGAAATAATGGCAATTGGTAAAGCACAATGGGTCTAGGTAGGCACTACAAAGTGAGAAGGCTCTTGTTTTTATGGTGTTTTATGTACACTGCCATGTTATGTTGTATGAAGTGGTGATGTATTTTTAAAATAAGACTTTAATTTCTAAAATGATTTCTCTCCAGACAACCAATACAATTTACATCCAACACCAATGTACTATACCTTTTTACATTTCCAGTTCTATTTTTTCCTGCCCTTCCTCCTGAAACAAGGAAGGAATAAAACATATCCAATAAAACAAATTTATAAAATACTAATTCAAGGTGCTAAAAACTGGCATTTACAGTCTGGGCAAATAGATAAGCACCCCCTAGTTAGAACTTGCTTCATCTCCAGCGAGATCATTCCGTAATATAGGTGCCACCACAGTGAAGACTCTTTTCCATACCATCATAAGGCAAACCTCTGTAGGCTGTGTATTGTGGTTAACAGAGGCTCCTCTGCATATCTTAGTGCCCTGGCAGAGTTGTACGGGAAAAAGGCATGATCTTACATATCTTGGTCCCCATTTCTTTATGGCTTTATAAACAAACAAAATAACCTTAAGATTGGCTTGGTAGTACATTGGCAGCCAGTGCAGTTTTTTTTAGCATAGGTGTTTTGTGTGTTGTAGGAAGCACCAGTAAGCAACTGCACAAACTGCAGCTTCCAGACCTACTTTAAAGTCAGTCTCACAAAGAGCACATTGCAATGGTACATGCAGTGTTTTGATGATTTTTCAGGGGGTATTCAAGGGTACACAGTAATGGCACCTCTTTTTGTTGTTGTTGTTAAAAAGTGTGGCACTTACTGTAACAACTTCATGGTGAGTACCAGCACCTATTTTTCTAGGGGGGGGGGGAGTAGTGGGCACATGTTACCAGTGTATGGATCACAGTGGCCAACCTATCCCGGAATGGTCATTACTGGAGCACCATCCAGAAATTGTAAGTGGCAACATAGACAACCATTTTTCCCTATCAGCCCAGAGTCAGGGACATGGAATATGAAGCTTCCCCCACTGAAAAGCAACCAAGGTGAAGCCACCTCCCACAATGCCTCTGCTGTAAAGGTGAATGAGGCAGTAACCAAGACAGAAAGACTCTGTTTGCATTGCACAGGAGCTAGTGAATGCAGTGCCTATGTGGGTGCAGGGTGATGACATCATGAGGATGTGAAGAGCATTGCTAGGCATTTAATAGCCATATGCAGACACAGTGCTGACAACTTGCTGCCAGTTGGGTTGCCAGCATATGCCTCTCTCCACTAAGGGCATGTTATCCCTCTCCCTTGGACAGTACTCAGTGGTGGTAACTGAAGACTACTGCCCACTCCATGGCTCAGCATCCTTACTTTAAAGTTAAAGACAAAACATTTCACTAGGTTGACAGTCCAGCAGCAATACTTGCACAAGGTCATATAGTGAATCCCAAACGCTTGCCTCCCAAGTTCACTAGACTTTTAAAGCTTGCATCACTTCTTAGCTTACATCTCTTTACATTCAGGCCATGCAGACACACTCATTCTTCCCTGAGTTTTCATCTTTTAAAATGAAGCCTTCTTCAGCCACTGTTATGCAGCAATGGGCTGTAATAAGCTTAGGCAGTGGGGGAGGCAGAGCTCCCACACTATCCAAATGATATTAGAAGGCCAATTGCTTAGGAATGAGAAAATGAATTAGTTCTATGGTAGTTGGGAGAAATTTGCTGGTGGGCTTTAATTGGGGTTAAGGTTGGCACACAGGTCAATTGAATGGTCAAATGTTGTCAATCGACTGGCTTATTGAACACCTATTATTTGACTACAGTGAAATATTGTTGAATATTCCACAAAGCCACAGTGCTGACTAGGTGGCCTGCTACATCATTCATCACACCTGACTTTACAAAATGACATAATAAATAAATAAATATGTAGGCTGAACTTAATGTTCCAGGATAAACGCCAAAGCTTGTCTAGTGAATCATTCACATGTATAGAAACACTTGCCAAATATTGCTAAAAGATATAATAAAAACTCATTATAATTCTTAAAAAGTTACTTCCAATGTTGTACAATACGTTAGCTAATTTGTTGCTGTAATTAACGTAAATATCAAACACGATGATTAAATTGTCTTTTTAATTTTCCTGCTTTGAATCCTGCCACCCCCGCCATGCACCTGCTGTTTATCAAAATGTAAGGAGAACACTGGCTCACCACAGAATCATCTATTTTTGGCTGAATGGAGGAGTGAACAGGAACCTGAGAGTGATCCATTGCCCTGTGTGGAACCTTTGTGTGAACAAGCTATACACTTAGGTCCCCCCCCCTAACTTCTGTTTCCTGCATATATTTTTTTCAGGGTAAAGAACACATGTACGGTGCCAATGCATTTACAGCTTACATACAGCTTGTATACAAGTAGACCATAAACAGAACAGCAATACATGCTTAAGAGATCAGGTCTTGAAGAGCTGGCCCTACCATTAGACAGAATGATGCACCTGCCTGACACAGCTGATACTGGGTGTCATGAAATGGCTACAAATTACTAAACCATTTAGGCTGCAGTCCTGTGTCTGGGATATAATCTAACTCAGTGTTCTGCAAAACAATATGTAAGAGATTGTTAACATTTTTCCCAACATGGAGTGGGGAGCACCTCAGGCAGCAAAATGTTTTGGACTTTGTCAGAGGTAGAGACAACAGGCTCAGTTCTGTGTGCATCACCACCACCACCCTATGTCTAGTTGACCAGTGTATATGCCCTCAAAGTTTAGTATGATACCTACCGTTCCAAACAATGTTGTGGCTGCTTCATGTAAGGGACTAGCTTTAATTAGGAGAATTTACTGTGAAGTTACTGGGTGGTAGCAAGCTAAGTCAACTCAGAGCAGATCCTTTGAAGACCCTTTAAGTATGACTAATATTGGATATCACCCACAGTATTGTTAAAGCATTATGTGTATGGCAGGGTAATTAAAGTTTAAAAGCACATAATTGTTAAAATATAACATATACCGGTAATTTGAGGGAGGGGGACATCCATGTATTTTATTTTCAAAAGAGTAGTTGTAAGCATCCGCTTATTTTATTAAATTCTGTAGCTATCACAATTATTCCTCTGTGGGCTGACAGCTGGGCAACTTGAAGTTTCAGCTTGATTTGAAATGGCTGAGACATAGATTCCAAGGCAAAATAACCCCAGCTGCGTAATGGACATGCTGACAGAGCCTTTAACTAGGATGTTGTTCTCCACCTTAGCAAGCAGCAATTGTAATTATAGGTCAGGAAGGAGAGCTGTATTTCACGTGATTACAACCTGTTTGCATTTCTCCTGGCTAGAAAACACACACATGCACACGCACACACACAGAGAGAGAGAGAGAGAGGGGAAGTACAGGGCATATGGGAGTTTAAGCGTCTATTCTATGCCGGGGGGAGGGTGTTCAATTCTGTGAGAAAACAATCTTGTGAGAATGAAGTTTTGCCATTTTTGGAAATGTATATGAGGTGTGTGTGTGTGGATACCAGAAGAGTGGTGGTGGTGACTTGTAGCACTAGCAGTACACTTAGAAAAATCACAGATATTTATTAAAGTTTTCAGGCACAAGAGTGGGGGAGGGGCAGGCAAACCTGAGGGTTGCATTCTCTTCAGAGCAACCCTCGGGATGGGGTGTGGGGGTTACATGCTTGTGCTGTTTCAGGTCAGAGGCAAAAAATGGCAGAGCAACTGTAATTTTGCCCTTGTATAGTAGTCAAGTTTCTACACACGCCCCACACCTCTTTGTCCTTCATCCAGGCAAGCAAGAAGCATTATTAGTATTCCAGGACACATTACAGCCTTGTGAAAGCATTCAGGACCAGTCAGGGGTGTGGCTGAGGAGCAAGCATGACCCGGGGGGGGGGGGGCTGTACTGGGTGCCAGAGAGAGGGACATCTGTGAAGACTGTGAAGAATGCGGACCAGAGATTATTTGTGAAATGAAAGAACAGTCACAAAAAAGCCATCAACCAACTTGAAAGGTAAGCTAAGACCAACACAAAGCCCTGCACCTGACATGTGATAATTTCTCTTAATTTTTCTCTCCTCTTTAATAATTTTTGAATTCGGATTATTTTCTTATTAATTGATAGGGAATGGTTTGTGGGGGAAATGTGGAATTTTTTTATTTTATTTTTTGCACAGCACAAGGTTTGCTGCTCAGCCCTCATCCGAACACCAGGAAAGGTGAGGTGCAACACAGCTACAGCAGCAGTGCTGGGTTGAAGGCGGCTGCCAAACATGCCATTGATGATGCCAGGCCTGGTTATTCAGTTGGGGGGGGGCACAGGGAGAAAACTGATTGGAATATGATAGGGAAATGAAGTAGTTGAAGTAATAGCACAGGCTCCATTTTAACTTTTACTGTTATTGATTCAAACTTGAATTATGCAAAAAAACCAAAACCTTCCTGCTTTAAAACTGTGTTGTTTTAAACAAACACATGTTTAAAGGAAGAGTTCAGCATACTTCTCCACAAAAATTCAATATAGATCTCCACAGCTGCCCACTAAACACCACAAGATAAATAAGGAATTGGATTGTGCCACTTAGGCCTTTGTTTATTTTTCAAACACTAATGCACAAAAGAACACTAAATGTGGGCCGCTTGAGGTCTCAGACCCATAGGCTTTACTTTCTGAGGTAAACATTATTCTTGAGTGTATTAAAGTACATGGCAAAAGATTACATAAGGTACAAATAACACGAAAACAGCCATTTTGTGCCAGCATTTGCTTGCATTCTAGTCAAAAGAATATCACAACACAAACCTTTATTCCTGCTCTAAGCAACAGTCAAAAGTTAACAGCCATTCCTGAATTAGATGTCTCTTCGGGTTGAGAGGAATTGCTTCCTGCAGCAGAAATATGAGTATTACTTCTAAGCACTTGGGTTGTGCAGTACTTTATAAAGCCACATCTTCTTCCTTATTTGGTTTGACTCACAACAGGCTCATCTGAGTTACTCCACATAAAATTGGAAGAGGCATCGGTGGCCATACACATCTGAACAAGGGACTGAGTTCGTTATTATTTTATTCCACCTTTCCTCCAACAAGCTCAAGGTGATTTAGTGTGTGTTATATGGCATTTAATTTACTTCCTGTTGTAGTAGGGAGAATTTTGCTACCCACCCTGTACCTCTCAGGTATGGCACAGTTCCCACTAGCTTAAACAAATAATTAAGAAACGTGAATAAGAACCTGACAGGACTAGCCAGGCTGTTAGGCCAAGTAAGGTGGTCACCTCAGGCAGCCAACGTTGTAGCGCTTTTTTGGCAAAATCGCAAATTGCCATTTTTGAGCTATTTTTATGGGCTGCCATAAACAAACACACCCAGGCCACTAAGCCAGCCTGCTGACATCTGCTGAATATACATGTGGGCAGAAGGCCCACTAGTGGTACCCCTGCTTGCAGAAAGCCCAGGATTCCTTGGATCCCAGGCTGCTCTCACACCTGAGGCTGGCCTGCAATGGGCTCAATCTGCCTGCCCCCCACCCCCCACCCATCATGAACGTCTGGGCTGCCAATGTGGTGGATCTGGCACACCCTTGAGTGCCAGCAGCAGTACACTGTTAGGATTGCTCTTGCTGGAGATGCCTGTCTACTCTGGGGTGAGTAAACTGTAGATGAACGCAGATCAGCATAGCTTCTCAAAGAACACCCCCTTCGGTCCATGGTGGTACTTGTTTTAAAAAAGCAACAACCATCAATTCTGTTGTTTATGAATAGGAAAAAAGGAAAGGGAAACATTCATTTTTATTTGCCTCAGAAAAATAGGAGGTGGCAAGAGGTGCAATAGAGAAAACTATGGATGAAAAAAAGGAATCTTGCGCAGTTACGTGAGATACACTAGCGAGTAGCTTTATATGTCTTTATATTGTTATTTCTAATATTAGTTTGCTGTTTCTCCATGAAAGCTGATTTATTTGAAATGTTATTACTTGAGAAACACCCTAATCTTTTTGTAATAATTCATATACTGGAGATTACAGTTTTGGAAGGCAGCCCAGCTCTGGCTCCAATCCTATTTATGGATTAAAGGATTTGAACAGCCTTGCAAGCTAGATCTCCAATAGCAAGGATAATGTAAACCTGGTTCCATATAAAATGCTTTTCCTCTGCAATCGTAACCCCATTAAAGGCAGATTGTTGGAGAGCGCTGGACAAGAGGCCTTTTTCATTACAGCAGAAAAGGGATATCTTCAGCCCGCAAAGAGCAGGATTTTTCAGAGCCCTTATTAGGATCCCTCTCAGCCTTCTTTTGTGGTTAGCCATGCACCTGGAAGGCCATCAAGACAACTAATTACAGAAGCTTTGTGGCAAATTCTGAAAAATCTTTTGTGTGTCTTACCCCCAGGAAAAACAAAACAAAATGCCAATTGTTCCTTTGGGGAATCCCTAACAAGGAAAAATACCTCCTCAAACTGCATTTATTTTGAGCACTTGCCAGGAGATTGCAAAGGTGCAATATATTGTTTAAGATTTAGATGCTTCTAGTTAACTTCTGCACCAGGATTGTTTTCTGCTAAGATCAGTTCAAGATGCTGGTTTTATAATATGAAACCAGGTCAGTGGTAGAGCATCTGCTTTGCATTCAGAAGGTCCCAGGTTCAATACTTGGCATCTACAAGACGGGCTGGGAAAAATTTCCTGCTTGGAACTCTGGAAATCCCCTGCCAGTCAGTGCAGACATACTGAGCTATATTGACCAGTAGTCTGACTCGGTATAAGGCAGCTTCCTATGTTCATATGAATCCGTGTTTCTGACGCCAAGTACAACTTTTGAGAGCCAGTGTGCTGTACTTGTTAGAGTGCTGGAGAAGGACCGGGGAAGCCAGGGTTCAAATCCTCATTCATCCATGAAGTATACTGAGTAACCTTAAGCCAGTCACTATTTCTCAGCATAACTTACTTCACAGGACTGTTGTGAGGCAGAAATGGGAGAGAGGTGTTCATATCACCTTGAGCTTCTTGGAGAAAATGCAACAAATGTAATGGTAAAAGCTTTGGCTCTGCATATGTTGGAGCCCATCTCCTTGACTCTTTTGCTGTCTTCCGTTATAATTAGGCCAAGAAAATCTTCATAATGATGATTTCATCTTCGTGTCAAGCCTGCATAATGAGATTACACAGGAAGGTCCTGTTGCAGGTAATTGAGGGATTCTCTTTCTCTGAATACTCACCAAGTGCAATTGTTTTCTGGAAAATCTGTATTTTCTTGTTTGGGTTGAAGCTGGTGGTGGGAAACTATAAGATATATTCATGTTGTTGCCACCTAGTAGCCAAAGCGCAGATTTGTTTATTCTGAAAAGTTTAAGACAGAGCATACCTCAGGGCTCAAGCTGTTTTCTGAGATGGATGCCAGGCTGAGTCGTGTGTGAACAGAGGACAAAATAAAACCAAGTTGCCATACTGTTACAGTTATGGAGGCTATACCAGCAATTTGATATGTTATATAAAATCCCACCTTCCCCGCCGCTCAAACGGGGCACTGTGCCTTTTACATTTCAAGAATACAGTAGGTAGAAGCAAAAAGACAGTACGTACAATATTCTCTGGCACTGTGATACAGTGATAGAGAATGCTGCATCTGTAAAATTTCTGCCTGCTGTGAAGGCACAGAGTTTCTGCCAGGAAAAAAGATGCTAGGATGACTGAGACTGATGCTATACATTTCAAAGCATTTGACCATCTGTTGATGACATCCAGTTTGGTTTCTTGTTATGATAGAATAGTGTGTCTGTGTGAGTGCAATCATGTGAGCGATAAGCATGCATGTGTTCTCAAACACAAATGTTCCTTTGTCCCTCTATCCTGAGTGGCTACATGCACAAGGATTAATGTTTCCATCTAATAAATTAATGTTGGCGATCGTTCTTAGAAATCTCTTCAGCTAATAAAAAAAATCATTGGCAGTAGGTGAGTGCATGGAGAGTGGGAAGGAATTTAGAACTGAAGCATCTGCTCCTGGTCCTAACTTCATGCATTAATGTGCAAGCTCCATACAGACAATCAGATGGCTGTGCAGGCATCAAGACCCTGGAAGAACAGAGACAATCCCCATCCCTCCCCATTCACGAGCTCACTAACTATCCCAGTGTTATGCTACACCTGTTAACCACTTGTATAGTGGGAGGAGGGAGCAAGACCATGCCAACTGGCCCTGCTTTTGATATCACATTCCCTGCTGGACACTAGCACTGTGATATCTCTGTTTCAGAGAACATGTGTAAAGAACCTATGTGCATATAGGTGCACGTCACACTTCTTTTTATAATAGTCCGTAAAATGTGTGGATGTTGGCGGGCAAGACCAGCAAGTGTGGTCTCATTTTCTCCTCTGTGCAGCGTAAAGATACGGAAGGGGCACCAACTGAATAGGGTTGAAAGGCAACAGCAACTCTAGCAATTTTTTGGCCCATAAAATGTGTCCAGGATTAGAAGGGTCTAAGGTGCATATGTTCCTCGCAGCAAATACAAGGCTGTGGGATAGACTTTGACAGAGGGAATGCTTTATTCAGGCAAAACTAGAAAAGAAATTACAGAAAGTCAAGAATAATTATGGGTCCTCCAGCAGCCAAGAAATGTTGGCATATTTTATTAAGCTCCCATATGGTGTAAGAATCTGTCTGTAAATAGAAGGTTGTGGGTTACTGTTTAAATAAAGAGGAGGGATGCTAAGACACCAGTTAAAGTTTTAAATTTCAGCTTTGTAATTTCAGCTTCTGCAAGTAGGCTACAGCCTTTCAATCTATACCTCTGTAGAGAGGATATGACAGGGCCCCTGTTATTTGAATTGTGATCATTCAAACGTTATGATGGAAAGAATCACTGACTAGGTTCCAAAACACCATGTATTTTGCATGCAGAAGCTTTTCCGTTCTCTGCTGCAGTGGCAGATCCTGCACTTTTTTCAACCAAGCCCCTGAAAGGTTGGGGGCACCATGGGGCAAAAGTTGCTTTCACTGGACAGCACAAATAAGCTACCACCATTACTCAGTATCTGCACTGAAACACTTTGGATTCCACCCGTCTTCGCTACCTATGTAATTCTGGTCAGGATGTCATGATGATGAGTTCATAGACTGATTTAAAGTATCCTGAATGGGTCATTCAGTGAAGAATATACTGCCCAGAGGCTTGTGGTTGGAGCCCGTCTCTTGATTGGAGCCTATCCTCCCATGCTGTTTTTAAAAGATATATTATACAGAAGAACATATAAGATATACAGTGATAAATGAGTTTGCCTCCATTGCCAGAAGTGGACATAGACTACCACTTTGTGCCAAATGGGCTCTGGCGAATGTGAGAGAGCTTGCTCTGCCGTTAATACATCACCATGACTTACAAGCAGAAAATTCTTCATTTTATTCCTCCTTTGTATTTCAAATGCACCCAAACACTACGGCAGACAAAATGATTCTGTTAATGCTCCCTAAATGCGTCTGTAATCATTCATGCCGTCTTTTGATGCAGCCATGTTCTGGCTGACAGCCCAAATGTTTAATGGAGTCTCAGATGGAGCTTTGATGGGCATTTGCATGACTTAGGATGTTTCTGAATGTAAACAGAACCAGCATGGTATCCCTACTTGCACATGCACATGACCCCAGGAAAGAAATCCTAATTTCACTTCTTCTCTGAGTAAGGGGGCTCTTAAACTTAGGCAGGGGGTGGGCTCTTAAACTTAGCCAGATGGATTCTGTTTCCAAGCATTTTTTTCTGTCTGTCTAAGCAGGGGGAAGGTGGGTGGAAGCAACCTTTCCAAGACTTAGTGAACACTTACACACACGGCAGGGGGTTCTCTAATCACCACGCTGTGCAATACAGCAAAAGGCAATTGATCTAGCTTGCAATTAGATGCTTTTCAAAATATCTTGTATGCTTATTAGAATGACGATGAAGGACAAAAAGGGTGAAAGTTATTCCTGTGCAAAAGACAAAACTGATGCTCTATTGATCTTTCCAGTTCACCATGCAAAACTTCATTCTGGGTGTTCCTTGTTCATGCCAGCGAGTCAAACAAATGTTGTGTTTGTTCAGTTTGGAAGAACATGGGTTCCATTTACCTCAGCAATGTATAGTCCCCCAATGAGTGCTGAGTAAGAAAATTCATTCCCATCCTGTCTCCAAAATAAGATTTATTTTAATATGTTTTGAATATTTAGATCCTACTCTTCAACAGGATTCTCAGTGTATCTGATTATTAGTGTCCTGTTTGAAATACAAAATGCAGCATGCCAATAATACAACATAGAAAATACAAGATAAAAATATAGCTGCTGCCTAAAACCCCACCTTGCAGTTAAAAATGATTTAAGCTGAACAAACAAATAAATGAAGAGGCCTGGGCAAATCTGGAACAGCTTTTGGGATGGTGTAGTGCACACATTGGGGACATGAGTGGCGCTGTGGGTAAAAGCCTCAGCGCCTAGGGCTTGCCGATCGAAAGGTCGGCGGTTCGAATCCCCGCGGCGGGGTGCACTCCCGTTGTTCGGTCCCAGCGCCTGCCAACCTAGCAGTTCGAAAGCATCCCCAGGTGCAAGTAGATAAATAGGGACAGCTTACTAGCGGGAAGGTAAACGGCGTTCCATGTGCGGCTCTGGCTCGCCAGAGCAGCGACGTCATTCTGGCCACGTGACCCGGAAGTGTCTCCGGACAGCGCTGGCCCCCGGCCTCTTGAGTGAGATGGGCGCACAACCCTAGAGTCTGTCAAGACTGGCCCGTATGGGTAGGGGTACCTTTACCTTTACCTTTACCTTTTAGTGCACACATTGAGCAGAGGAGAAGGGGGGTGGTTCTGTTGCGCAAGGGAAAGTTGTTCTACAGAACATCATGGAAGAATGGATGGGATGTCACAAGGGGAGTTCAATGTAATGTATATAGAAATATGTGTAAAAAAATGAAAATTCAGTAAATCAAATAATTAAGAGAGGGGGGTGAGTTGTTCTAGTTGTGCAATTATTTAGTTATTGCCCCTCAAATTTGGCTGAGTAGCATACTGGCAGCCAGTGTAGGTCTTTCAGCAGAAGTGTTATATGCAATCTATGGCCCACGCCAGACAACAATCGTGCTGCTGCATTCTGCACTAGCTGCCCATTGACCAAGGTGCTGACTATATGTAACAAACTATTATGGAATAAAGGGATACAGTGTATAGCAAGCAGAGAAGAGCCTTCTGTATAAGAATAAAGAGGGCACAAGTACAGCAGTCCTGTGTGTGAGAGGAGGGATGTAATAATGGTACAAATGTGCCCACTTTTATCTGTGAAATGTTGAAGGGATATGTAACCTAAGAGAATCACACTATATTTTCACTGGCTTCTTTTTGTCCCCAAATTAAAATTCATCTATTTAATTAAGCTGCAACAGAATTACACACTACATGTGGTTCTGTGGCTCTTTGCCCATCCCCACTGGCTCTGGGAGGCTGAAACCTTAAGCAGAGGACTGGATAGGGGATCTCCAGAAAGGGAGAAAATGTGCTGCATAATCCACTTCAGGAAATGACTATAGCTCAGTGGTAGAGCACATGCTTTGAATTATTTTATTTTATTTTACTTATTCATTTAGTATATTTATGAGATGCCTCATAAAATCAATTCTCTAGGCATTGTACAAATAAAAGGAGAACAAAAACAATAAAACCACAATAAACCTAAGAGAATGTCATCAGAAAACCCAAAAACCAAATGTAAAACTAAAACAGCTACCAAATACATAAATATTAAATTCATCAATGGATACCACAGGGACTTAAAAGGCCTGGTAAAACATAAAAATCTTAACCTGATGTTGCAAAGACAGCAATGTGGGCACCATACAGGCCTCCCAAAAAAGAACATTTCATAGCCAGGGGGCCGCCACTGAAAAGGCCCTTTTCTCTCATGAATACAAACTGGCCATGTTAGACTTGATATAAGAAAGTTGCCTGTATTCCTCTACCCTTTCCTTGCCAGCCACTTAAAACTCATCCGCTCAAAATCATACCTCAGCTAATTTCCTATCCATGGGCAAGAGATGAAAATATGGATTATTAATCTTTTCCTATGTATGAAGAAAAGCTGTGGCAAGGTGGTGTGATGTTGAGTGGACCTTGTCCAGTAGGAAAAGTATTAAGTAGCTTGTCTGCCAGCCCTACCTCACCCACTG